GCGAGGGCTGACCCAGCCATCTGTCCAACGCTATCTTTTCGTGCACTTACCACCACACCACAGGAACATGTCAACGATATCACCCCACCACATACACGTCACTGATACCATCACACCACAGGAACATGTCAACGATACCACCACACGACAGAGACATGTCAATAATACCACCACACGACAGACGTGTCAACAATACCACCACACCACAGACATGCCAACGATGCCATCACACCACAGACATGTCAACGATGCCATCACACCACAGACATGTCAACGATGCCACCAACCACAGACATGTCAACGATGCCACCACACGACACAGACATGCCAACGATACCACCACGCAGCAGACATGTCAACGATACTACCACACAGCAGACATGTCAACGATACCACCACACCATATACATGTCAACGATACCGCCATGCCACAGATATTCCGACGATATCACACCGCAGAGAGACATGTTACCGACACCACCACAGGACTGAGACATGTCAATAATACCACCACACGACAGACATGTCAACGATACCACCACACGAGACATGTCAACGGTACCTTCACACCGCAGACATGTCAAAAATATCACCACACCACAGACATGTCCACGATGCCACTACACTACAGACATGTCAACGATACCACCACACGACATACATGTCAACGATATCACCACACAACATACATGTCAACGATACCACCACACCACATACATGTCAAAGATATCACCACACGACAGGGACATGCCGTCACACCACCAGGAGGCGTCATCATACGACAGGGTCGGTTTGGCGCGCGCCACGCCGCAGGCCCCGTCCGTCAGATGCCACCCGCAGCCCACCTGCTGGATCTGCTCACGGACCCGCTGCAGCCTGGCACCCGTCTCCTCTTCGACTCCCGGCCGATCCGGTCGGTCTGCCGGCCCACCGGTCCGGCCCGGCCTGCCGACGGACCCGCAGACATCATCAGCCCGCCGCGGGCACGCCTGCCGGCCAGCGGCGAGGCCTCGCCGTCCGCCGGCGCCGTGCCGTGCCGGTACGTGACGGTCATCAGTGAGGGGACAACCGGTGCGATTGGGGGGACCACAAATTACGTCGGACCGTGCTATGGGAACCCGCTGCCAACGCAAATGGATCCCTCGTATTGCGGGAAATGCGTGACGGTGAGGAAGCTCAGTTTATGTGAAGTCTAATATAGAACAGTTGCGCTCCCCATCCCTGCACTTTGTTCCCGTCTTGGACCTACAGCTCTCACCTGGAGTAACTACGCATCATACATTTCACGGCGCATCGTGAGTACATTATCCGGCTGCGTCCGCTCGTCCCACGTCACTTTTGCCCAGTGATGCGCTGACACGCTTCACCGTACGCACGAAGGATTTCTCCAAGGAGATCGGGGTCATCCTAGAGTCAGGTCCGTGATGCTCCTCCAGGCTCACCTGCTCCTCCTGAACACGATACGTCTCGCGGGCCGGCCGGCCGCTCTGGGTTCCGGCGGAGGCGGCGGCGCCACCTGGGGTGGCAGCGGCAGAGGCGCCACCCGCGGCGGCCCCTCGGTCCGTCCGGGGGACGGCTGTGTCGGCAGCGGGAGGCGGGGGCCGATCAGCGCGGCCGGCGGCGGCTCCGGCGGCGGGGGCGCCGTGCCGCCGCCAGACGGCCCCGGGCCCACCCCGGCGCCCAGCAGCCCGGCGCCCGCAGCCGCTGTTCTGCCCGGCTGCCTCCCACTGCCCTGGCATCTGAAGCAGAAGCTTCACGTTAAACGGGACAGGGGACCAGGCCCACGTGAGCCGACTACACGTGGTAGGAGCCGCCAGTCAGCAGCAGCAGCCAGCACATCGTCACACGGTTTCCGTGTGGTCCCCGAGCCCACGTCGGCCCGGTGGCGGACACTGACCTGGCCAAGCCGGCGCGGTAGTAGGAGCGCCGCCAGCGGAGCTTGTCGGCCGTCTCGGCAGGTGTCTCCAGCTCGGGGGCGTAGCAGACCTTTAGGTGCGTGCCGAAGAAGTTGCGATCGTCCAGTTGACTCTTGGCCAGCCTGCCGGAGGCGGCGCATCCTTCACTCAGTCCACACGCACCACCTCGCAGCCACAAACACCAGCAGAAACCGGTCAGCACGCGACAGAGAGAGCACTGACGCGCCGCCCAAAGGTCCGGTTCGGCTGGGTGACTGCTCGGGCGCGCATCGCTTCCTGACGAATCGTCACATTGTGTGGTAGACTCGGGGTGACTGAGCGCGCGAAGGCAGCCCTTACTCTGGTGCGTACGAATCACGCTGGAAGTAGAGCGCCGTGCCGTAAAAGCACGTATCACGGAAGAGGCCTGCCCGCTATCTCGCTCGGGTGTGTGAATATCTGCTAGGCGTGCGTTGAACACCATTCAAATCAAATGCAGTGCATGCAATGCAATTTTGCATTATGGTGCTTAATTTCAGTGACCGCATGTAGATTTGGACAGGGAAGCGGACGAAGTCCACGAGCCCTCCGGCAACTGACATACATCGCCGTTGGACAATGAAGCTCCACTGCTGTCACACATTACCACTGGCACGGCAAAATCACGAAAGTATGACACTGCTACATTCAACCCCGGTGAAGAACACCGCAGCCCCGCGCACACCTTCTGCGCAATACAGCGCGCTCGAAAGCGCAGGATCTCGTCCGGCTACAGACCCAGAGCAGCATCACCGGTCAGAGCCCTCACCTGGCCGCGGCCATGCGCCGGTACTGCGCGTGGTACACCCGGGTGAACCGCTCCGTTTCGTAGTCATCGACAGCATTCAGTCGCTGCAGCGGACCAAAGCGGCGGCACAGCGCCTCCAGCTCGTCCCGCACGTCCACCGAGGTCACGTTCTGCAGCAGCAGGTGGCGCGACTCGTCGGCCACCGTGTACACCTGCAGCAGGCGGCCAACCGTCACAGGCGCAGCTGTAGCGCCAGACCGTCACATGTGCAGCCGTAGCGCCAGACCGTCACATGTGCATCTGTAGCGCCAGACCGTCACATGTGCATCTGTAGCGCCAGACCGTCACATGTGCAGCTGTGGCGCCAGACCGTCACATGTGCAGCTGTAGCGCCAGACCGTCAGATGTGCAGCCGTAGCCAGACGTCCAGGTAGCGCCAGACCGTCACATGTGCAGCTGTAGCGCCAGACCGTCACATGTGCAGCTGTAGCGCCAGACCGTCACACGTGCAGCTGTAGCGCCAGACCGTCACATGTGCAGCTGTGGCGCCAGACCGTCACACGTGCAGCTGTAGCGCCAGACCGTCACATGTGCAGCTGTAGCGCCAGACCGTCACATGTGCAGCTGTAGCGCCAGACCGTCACATGTGCAGCTGTAGCGCCAGACCGTCACATGTGCAGCTGTAGCGCCAGACCGTCACATGTGCAGCTGTAGCGCCAGACCGTCACATGTGCAGCTGTAGCGCCAGACCGTCACACGTGCAGCTGTAGCGCCAGACCGTCACATGTGCAGCTGTAGCGCCAGACCGTCACATGTGCAGCTGTAGCGCCAGACCGTGACGTGCGGAGCTGCGGAACCGGACCGCCACATGTGCGGACCAGCCGCTACAAGATTAACAGCCGCCTGCAGCAGCGAAAAACATCAAATGCGTACCTGCATCGAGCGACCAATCGAAACGCACACACCCGCAGCAGCGCGCTACCCATCCCGTCTGCAGCGCGCTACTCGTCTCGTCTGCGGCAGACCAGCCGTCACGTCTGCAGCAGACCAACCGTCACGTCTGCAGCAGACCAACCGTCACGTCTGCAGTGGACCGACTGTCACGTCTGCAGCGGACTGACCGTCACGTCTGCAGCGGACTGACCGTCACGTCTGCAGCGGACTAACCGCCATGTCTGCAGCGGACTAAACACCGCGTCTGCAGCGGATTAACCGTCACGCCCGCAGCGGACTAACCGCCACGCCTGCAGCGGACTAACCGCCACGTCTGCAGCGGACTAACCGTCACGCCTGCAGCGGACTAACCGGCACGCCTGCAGCGGACTAATTGTCACGCCTGCAGCGGACTAACCGCCACGTCTGCAGCGGACCAACCGGCACGTCTGAGGCGGACTAACCGGCACGTCTGAGGCGGACTAACCGGCACGTTTGAGGCGGACTAACCGGCACGTCTGAGGCGGACTAACCGGCACGTCTGAGGCGGACTAACCGGCACGTCTGATGCGGACTAACCGGCACGTCTGAGGCGGACTAACCGGCACGTCTGAGGCGGACTAATCGGCACGTCTGAGGCGGACTAATCGGCACGTCTGAGGCGGACTAATCGGCAAGTATCCTAATCGGCAAGTATCCAGGCGCGGCGGAGCCCGCATATAACCAGCCATCACATATGCAACTGCAGAGCTAGACAATGGCATCATATGCACTTTAGCACACACGCAACAGCTGATAAGCTGGGGAAGTGCAACAGGCCAACAGCCACATGCACAAAAAGCAGCATCTACAAATGGAATTGGAATGCGCTGTGCATTGCAGCCAACCGAGGCGAATTTCCCCGCCGCTCAGCATCTGTTCCCCTGTGAACCATAAATGACGCCAGACTAGCCTCTCGAGCCCCTCTTTCCAGTTCGAAGTTTGGTGCTCTTAACAAGCTCTTGTTCGGAGGGCGTTTCATGCACTGTTCGGCAAATCCCAGCAAATGCTGGCTACTTGAACTTGAAGCCTGCTTTAAACCCTTCTAAAAGCTTTCAGTTCTCGCTATGAATCTCATAGTTCCTTTCGTGTTCGGGGCATCTGCGCGGTACCATGCGTAAAGTCTGTCTGGCTAAAGCGACAGGTGCTGTTTCCCAGCTACGCGCAGAAAAGTTCGTTTCCTGGTGCTGACTTCCAGGACGTCACGTGATCATGCGAGGACAATCGTTCATGCCCGTGACATGCACAAGGACCAGTAGAAAATGTAGCATGACAGGCGGTCGCCTCGGCGACATAGCTACCAGTCCTTCACAGCCGCCTGCATCTGCTACATGGCTGCTATGGAATGTCTGTATTAGTACAAAAACCGGCAAGAACAAGAACTTGCACTGTCAGGTCCCGCAGAAAGGTCGGTAAGATAGGCAAGACACTTCTTAGAACGTGCACGAGCAGCTCCATCCCTGTGGCGACGACCACGGTCGGCAGGAAGACACTTCGCGGCAAGAGGCAGCCGGTCCGTGGTCCGTCCATTCGCGACGGTGACCACACGCGATGTCGAAGAACACTTTTTAGCACGTGTTCTTCGAGACGACCATTCAAAACCATCACACTACGCGAGCCTTGTACAGGACACATCATCTAACGCCAACCCAGTTACAGACGCAGGGAGTTGCTCGGCAAGGCATCCGGAACCGTTGCCAACAAGTAATCACTCTAGTTCCGTGTCCTCGCCGTACTTGCCGCCGCTCTCCAGACCGAGCCGGTGCCAGACGCAGACCATGTTGTTGTGCGTCACGGCCACTAGGTATCGCTCGTCCTCGCTCACGCACACCCGGTTCACCAGGATGTCGAACTCGTGCAGCGGCACCTTGCGCGCGCGCATCAGCTCGTCGTCGACGGGCCGCGGCCAGCGCAGCGTGTGGATCGGCTCATCGCCACCGCCGCTGTCGTTGGCGCTCCAGTCGTACAGCCAGACGTCACCACAGTCGTCTCCGGCGGCCAGCAGGCGGCGGCCGGCGCCCAATCCCAGATAGGCCGCCTCCGTGTCGCTCCAGCGGAGGACACGGTGCGGCGCCGCCGCCAGGTCCACGCAACGCTCGGCCGGCCCCGGCACCGGCAGCAGGGCAGCCAGCGGCCAGACCAGGATCTGGCCGCGGCCGGAGCACTTCACAGCCAGTCGGGCGCCGCCCAGCACCGCCAGCGCGTCGACGCGCTCGCCCGAGCCAGCCGGCGGCGGCGGCAGGGTGTACTGCAGCCGCTGCGGCGGCTGGCCGGCGCGCAACGCATCGGGCACCAGCCGCCAGCCGCATAGACCGTCCTCGCTGCCGGCCAGCAGCAGCTCCTGGTCGGCGGCCAGCGCCAGCGCCAGCGGCGGCGCGGCCGTCTCCAGTGTCAGCAGCCGCCGGGGCCGCACCTGATAGTGCGGCGGCGCCGGCACACCGACATCCCAGAGGGAAACGTGGCAGTCGCCCGTGGCGCACAGCAGCCAGCGCGAGCGGCGCGGGTGGAAGAGCAGCGCCGTGACCTCCCGGCAGCCGGCGCCGCCCGCCGCGAAGCTGGCGTACCACGTCAGGTTGTCCGGATGCAGCAGGTGCACGTGACGCGCGCCGCCAACGGCCAGTACGGAGAGCCGCCGCGAGCCGACCTCATCCAGTCGCAGCCGACTCCAGGCCAGCGCGCCCAACCGCTCGCGCAGGTCCGGGTGGGAGAACTTCTTGAGCAGCAGACCAGAGCCGGCGTCCAGCAGGCAGACGGAGCGGCCGCCGCACGTCGCCACCACCGCGCCGCCGCCCGGCTCGAACTTGCAGTCCCACAGCTCCGTGTGCACGTCGGCCGGGTCGTCGCGCGCCGAGTGGCAGCGCAGGAAGTGCGCCGGGCGAAACGCGGGTGGCGCGCAGCAGTCGTCCGCGGCCGGCGACTCGTCCTCCGGCGGGTCGTAGCGCAGCAGCGTCTGCCGCTCGGCCAGCGTCAGCTCGCCGCCGTCGGCCTCGCTCCTCGCAGTCCGTCCGCCCCGCCCTCCAGCGGAGCACCCCACGCCTCCGTCCGCGCTCTGGTGACCGCTTGTGGAACTGGGGCTGTTTCCACTGGCCCGCCTGCCGCGCGACGGAGCGGCAGGAGACACGTCTTTACTGGCTCTCCCGCGACGCGACGGAGTGGCGCGAGACACGTCTTTACTGGCTCTCCCGCGACGCGACGGAGTGGCGGGAGACACGTCTTTACTGGCTCGCCTGCGACGCGACAGAGTGGCGGGAGACACGTCTTTACTGGCTCGCCTGCCACGAGACGGAGTGGCAGGAGACACGTCTTTGCTGGCCCGCCTGCGACGCGGCGGAGTGGCAGGAGACACGTCTCCGCTGGCTCGCCTGCGACGCGACGGAGTGGCAGGAGACACGTCTTTGCTGGCTCGCCTGCGACGCGACGGAGTGGCAGGAGACACGTCTTTACTGGCCCGCCTCCGTCGGGTCGGAGTGGCCGGAGTCACGTCCCTGGCGGGCTTCTTCCCGCCTCCCAGCGCGGTGACGGAGGAAGCATCTGCGCCGGTCCTGCTCCGACGTCGCGGTGAGCCGGGAGACGAGCAGCCGTCGGCTGGCGGCCGGCGCGCCTCGGCGGCCGGGGACTGCAGCGCGCGCTTCCTTTTCCAGCGCGGCATGGCACGGCTTCAGGACAGAGACAACCACCTATCAGAGGCAACAAACAAGGGCAGAGACCTTTCATGTCCATCCGAAATCGGTAATCGGTAAAAAGACATTCATGCATATTTCGGGGCGGGGAGGGGAGAGGGCTCAAAAGACGAGCTGATCTCACCAAGCTCTCAGCCTGAACGCTGATTCAGAGCGCATCGGAGAAAACTAATTCAGATACGAGACCCTGCTGTTGCACTGACATAATATGGTACCGCCTGAGCAGCACTTACCGCCGACTACACCGTCCATTGCCGAGACCTATTTGGTCCACCATTTACTACGCAGAAGACCTATCTAAGCCGGCGCGTGCACCTAGTGCCCCAATGGACGCGCTGTCGCTGCATGCGGAGCCACCGGTCCATTGCATGTCCGTACCAACCATTGGGTGGCCACCTCCCCGGCGGGCGATGTCACACCCCGCCGTTCGTACCTCGGCCGCAATACAAACGTTCACTGCACGCTTCAACACGATATCATAGCGACATACCGCGGCATTACCTTAACAGCAGTAAGCTTCTTGCCCTGCCTATACTTGGCTCGTGTTTCGCAGAGTGGCTCTTGGTCGTGGTGGGGTAGCTTGACGATCTTCCCCGCCGCACGGACAGGCTCGCTGCTCTCTTCCATGCAGTACCTGGAGCAATCCAAGGAATCAGAGGTCCACATCATTGGGTGATTCACTGTAAACTTCAGTTGTGCTCAATGAAGCATATCCACACCTACAAACACAGTGACTCAAGTAAGCTTGAAGGAGTGGCAGGGGTGGTGTGGTGGTGTGCTCAGACTCACCATCACATGAAATGTATTATTTCCATTCTATGTAGAATTTGTTCAAATGAGCCTGACTCACTGCTTTGCAGATATAGCTTTAGATGAGAGGCTAATGTGTCAAAATTCAAGATTTCGGGTGGACATACTATCTTTTACAGGCAATGTTGGACTCTTAATTGTGCCATTTTCTTACCTTTTTTATTACCTCAGTCTCCAACTTATGCATGCATTTCCTACTGATTTAAGTCTCCTCCAGGGTTTCAGTGAAGCCATTTCTGTCTCTGCAGTGCTTTTAATGCAGCTGTTTTGGCACAATATCAGAAGGGCCCCTGAACATCTCAAGGTGAAGACATCAACCTTGGTTTTCCATTAGAATGATTCTAGCTGTAGAGGACTTTGCTCAAACCTTCTAAAAAGCTCCCACAAAGGCACAGCATAACAGCAATGTTCCTGCTTAGTCCTGGTTGCCAGATGGCTGTCACTGACAGGGCAGATATGTTTAATATTGGGATGTAAATCTGTGTCTGCCTGACTGAAAAATCTATGTCTGAAATATTTCTAGAGCATAATTCAAAAGGGCCAGTTCAGTGCCCACTGAATATTCCTAGAGCATAATTCAAAAGGGCCAGTTCAGTGCCCACTGATGAGGAAATTACACACAATGCCAACCACTTCTGTTTAATGCCCACTTGCTTATGATGGCATGCACATGTGACCTTCAGGCACAACAATATTGGTACATTGCACAGGGTCTACTGGCAATCTTTTGGGTGGTCTTGAAAATTCTGCCTAGTTGCCCTCAGCCATAACTCACAAGTGACACAGATGCAGCCACTAGATAGTACAAAACTCTTTCTGAAATGTTAAAAAGTTTGATTTATCTGTTGGTTTGGAGAGCTCTCTCATGATTTTCCACCTGACCCAAAATCTTGACTGCATGAAAGACTCACAACACCTTCACATTTTCAGACCCATTTATCAACAGCACCTAGCATATACAATGCCGAGCAAACTTAATGCCAGCCATTTTTTATATCCCTTTTAGAGCTCATTACCATGGGACCAGTGGAGGTGAATCTTCTGTGGGGATAGGGGTGAGCAATGGTGGGGAGGAGGGTATATCATTTTTACCTTGTTGCTTTCTGTGCGCAGACACAGTTTGAATACTGCCTGTTGTTGGGAAGGTGGCTGCCCCTTGCCCCTCCCTCACAAGCAACAACTGTTTGGTACAGGTGGGGGGCATCAATTTGAGACATTAGGTGCAGGTAGGCATTGCTGCTTTAGATCTAACAGGAAATACCAGCTAGTGTGTAATAATATACATATACAATTGTATATTTTCATTAAAAAAGCACTTGAAACCTGCACAGCATGGATATTAAAAGAGACATAGTAGAATAGATAACAATAATGCTTTTGTAGGCATATCTGTAGCCTATAGATACCTCCAACTACCATGCAGGCTACAACAGTACCTACAGGCCAAACTACAACAAACACATGTTATACTGAACATGTCCAGGACATCTTCCATGAACAATTTCAACATACATAGCCATACATCTGAGCACAAAGAAATTGGCAAAAGTTTGTCATAAATTTTAGTACAAAGGACCAATGTTTCAAGGAATCATTTTGGGTCTGTTCTGGCCACTCCTCCAAAAAGAGAAGCTTAGCATGGAGAATGATCCAGGAGTGATGGATCTGCATTGAATCTGCTGCCAACAGAATAACTTTGGGGAAGGGAAAAGCTGTCTGAACACAATTTAAACCAATAGTTTTTGCACACTAATAACAAATAGCTAAGATGTTGTGATCATTGAAAAACATATTCAACAATGTAAATATGTGCAATAATAATTCTGAAACTATATGGTTGACTGAGGATATAACCTATTAGCACCAAGTCACACAGCAGACATTTGTTATGTGCCAAGAAAAAGACCAAAAAAGAATATGAATAAGCTGTCCCCACCAATTTCTACAACTGCTCCAAACTCTCCTGAAAAACTATCTTTCTTTTCAGAGATTAGAGGGTGGCAAGCAACAACCTCCAATCCAATGGCAAGCTCTGCAAAGGTTAGAGGAGGTTAAAGGAGCAACAGGAATAGATCCTATGTTACAAATATAATCTTAGGCACAATGCTCCATAATGTTTTTTTCTTCTTTTAATTCCCCCAAAATTTCCCTGGCCTCAGTTTAGAGGACTTCAGCAATAGGGCAACTGGCACACAAATGCATTGTTACCTGTTCTACCTTGTGTACACCTGTGCCTTCAACACAAAGAATGATATCATGGTAGCCTCTGATTGTGCCTACATATGGACACCAGCACTGAAACAAATGTTAATATGCATTCACAATGCCACGCTTCTTTTGATGCACATTCCATGGGTGCATCCTTACTTCTTATCAGGCATAGCTCTGTCATACACAAGAGAGGGTGGTGGCCAAGAAGTGAATCTGTGCTGTGGAAATACATTGATAATGTCCAGTTTAACATGCACAGTAATGGGAAATGTTATGCAGGTGTCAGGGTATTCTCCAAAGTAGACATCACCTACGTTTCACTTCGCTCGTGGTGCATGCTAAAGCGAAATTAAATTTACGTGGTTGCAGAGGCAAACTCATGCGAGCAGCACACATCAAAACGAAATGCACAAATACCCACCCAATTCCAATAGCACCTCCTCCGTCGCATCCGCCACGACGCGTCTCCCGCCAAATCCAACATCCCAGAAGTTCGTACGCGAGCACTTACGAGAGAGACTAAACGACTGACAAAACCTGCTGGCAACCTTATTCTCCGAGCCTATGTAGCCGATCAACACGAAATCTTTACCATGCGATAGAACTTAGTTCGTAATCTACTCTAGCCAGAAGATAGTGACCGGGTCAGGTGACTAGTAACCAAAATGCAAAAAATCTAAAAAATCAGTTTGCAGACAACCAGTGCTCCGAGCCCTCGGCGCAGATTACCACAAAACCTTCTCTGGTCCATGCGCCACAGCCGATATCCGATCATTTCCAGAACATGGTGACCTTAGGCCAAGTCAAAGGTCACCAAGAGACAAAAAAAAAACCGAATGAGCTGCAGACAGCCCCATGCTCAGGGCCTAACCCCTTTAGATGTTGAGTTGAGGGCTTTCTGCCTGCTAAGCGCCCCGCTTTCTCGCGGGAAGTCCCCCCCCCCCCGCTTCTTTTATTCTCGCGACTATCTTGACACCAGCATTTTAGCTACTCGGGACTCTTTTGCCAGCTCATAAGCCCCTCCTTCTGCCCAAAAATCATTTTTGCTCTCTGAAAATCAATCAGTTAACCCCTCAAGCATACTCGCACTGAGTGCTCAACCATGCGGAAGCCTGTTTTCCAGCACCAATGTAATTTCTTCGACCGACCGGGCTTCACTCTTTGATCCAGCACATGTATCCCTTCACCAATCTGATGCTCTGATGAGGGCGTAGAAGGAAAGCTGTCTGATACTGAGCTCTATGCAAAAACTGTTCATCACTGTATTCCTGAAAGTGGTACGGTTATCACTCAACCATACCTCAGT